GGAAAGAGTCATGGTCTGTTGTTGTAGCCTAGTGGTTACAGCACTCTGGGAGAAGGATTTCTGGTCCTTCCTCCCCCCACAGTTTATTTTCTTCCCACCCATTCTGGATATACAACTACCTGGTTTTGTTTAGGAACAGCAAATCCTGTATCTCTAAGGGGTTAGACTACTGAGAGCTTTTTTCAGCTTGATCATAGAATCACAGAAAAGTAAGTTTGGAAGAGACTTTTGGAGCTCATTTAATCCAATTTCCTGCTCAAAGCAGCATCACCGCTATCCAAACCATCCCATACAAGTCCAAATTTGGCAATCAGCCTGGCCCGGAGCTGGGGGGCAAGACCCTCTAACCAGAAACCTCTGGTTTTAGTCCCAGCAGGAGCTCTGGCACATCCCTGGCTGCAGCCAATAGCCAATGCTTTTGAGGAAAGAACAGGGGGGAGAGGGAGGAGGAACAAAAAGCCAAACCCTGATACCTGTCACAGGAGGAAAAAAAAATTCTCTCTCAGCCCCACGTGGCAACCAGCAGAGCCCAGAAGCCTGGGACAAACCAAATACCCTCCATTCTGCCCTGCAACCTGCGGACAGCAAACATAACTCACCCATCACACCACCCTCTTACTAGACAGCCAAAACTCCCCTTTCCGTATCCCCTCCATAAACCCGTCCCAGTTCCTTTAATCTTCCTTTGTAACTAAGTCAGTCGTGGAGCTCTGCTTCATTCCCCTGCTTCTGAGCCTGGTCCTCTCCAATATCCACGTGCTCAGAGCTGCCGAGCTCTTCTTGTGATCTCCCAGTTGGGGGTGGAGCGGGTGGCAGGGCTCCTGGGCTTCCAGCTGTTGCTCCTTATAGAACACTCCCCACATAGCTACTCCTAGATCACCCCTGTCCAAAGGTAATACCACTTTTGGATGAGACTATTATGTTTGGTAAATAAAAGACAATTATATATTGCATACCTGTGCAGGCTATGGAAGAAAATCAAACACATGAAGGCTCCATAATTAGACACAGACTTTTACGTTAAATGCCAAATTAAAATTTTAAAAATGTGTCATTATTTAACCTAAAAAGCTAATTAGAAACAAACCTCTGAAAAGGGAATATGGAAAGAGAAAGCCAGAACAGACTTCGCAGTTGTGCCCTTAACCTACATGCAACTAACCTTCATTCTTCATCTTGTCAAAATAAGCTAGCTTGGAGGCAGCATAAATTGTTTTGGAGGACTGCAGTGCACCAACTACAGCATCCATCAGGAGGACATTAGTCAGCGCTTGATGAATATAATGAGGATCCTAAAAATGAAAAATGTGATTTTGACTTACTTGTCAATCATTTCTCTAATACACTTCCAGCCTCTATATTCACTGTAGGGATCTCTTTGCACTAACACCATATTTAGGCATGCATTGGACCAGTATTCAAGACACTTACCAGAAAGGAAAGTTAGTAGAAATGATAAAATAAAATTTCCTATTAAGAAGTCCCATAGACTATTCTGTATACTAGGGATTTTGCCAGCAGTAACCTAAAAAAAGGTAAAGAAATGCATACTATTTGTGCTTCTCTTGTGTTACTGTGACAGTCTACAAGATTTTTCCGCTAAAGGCAGCATTAGCTGGTGCCATATGGTCTGGCTTACAATGATGAAAATACCAACCTTAAACCAAGTGGCCACGTTGCCTATTTCCTCGTAAAAGGCTAAAACTCTCTCGGACCAGAACAGAGACCTCATCTTTGGGAAGTGTGATCTGAACTGATTCCACAGACTTCTAGCATGCTTTGCATTTTGACTGTTACATGTATTTGAATTCTGGATCAAAAAGGTATCCAGAAACTTAAGAGGCAGAGAACTGCTCCTTAAATGCCAAAATTTCTTAGACACTATAGTTACTGTATGCTATTTATTCATCTTGGATCTTTACCTTCTCTATTACTCCAGCAATTACATTAGAAATGTATTGGCTCCCAGATCACTGCACAATTCCATGTTTGTATGCTCACAAAATCTGTGAGCAAACAAAGAAAAAAGCCCCTACGGCTGACAGATGATAAAAGGAAAATTTGGCAGTGTATTCAGAGAACTATATTTTGAATTATTTCTACACAATATCTCAAACTACTATCAGTGTTAAACAGCAGCAAAGAATAAAATGACAATGTAGTAACAAGATCTCTATATATTATTCTGTTATCTCTTTATTGAAAACTGGGAAACAGTACAAGATTTTTAAAGCATTATTAAGTATGTCAGGCATGTCAAAAATCACCTTATGCCCCAGACTGGATCCAGACTGCAGGGCTTCTTGCTGGCTGGATCTGGCCTGGGACACACAGACATTGCCGTGGCAGTGATAGCAGCTCCAGCTCTGAGCTCAGGCCCAGAGCACTCCGTGGCAGTGACAACTCTGGCCCAGAGCACATGCTGGCAGCTCTAGCCCCTGCCATGTGCTGTGTCAGACCTGGAGCTGCCACCATCGCATGCCCCATCACTGCAGCAGCTCCAGCTCAGGCTCCGGCATGGAGCACTCAGCGGGGTCCAGCAGTCGAGGAAGTAGGGCTGCAGGTGTGGTGACCATCTAAGTGGACAAAGTGCAACCATGGTCATTAGCTCTCACTTGCCCTACTGTCACCGACTGCCATTCTGTGGTGATCCACACTCCCTGCCCGTGCTGGCAGTCTGGTGGGTGGGCCAGACAGTAGTTCCATGCCAGATCTGGGCCATGTGTTTGACAGCCCTGAAGTACATGAAAGCAGAAATAGTCTGAAGTACATGTTGTGTAGTTCAACAGAAATGCAATATTCATACCTTGTGATCATCTGACATTTTTTTCCCGGCCCACATTTCTTTCACCATTAGATGCCACAGATCACACTCTGTTTTAAGGTTAGCTTCAAAGATGTCCTTTTTGGATACTGTTTTAATTCTCAAAGTGGGTATTCTCAGAACAAGGAAAGCTACAGTAGTACTCTTCACTTCCTGTAAATGAAGAGAAGCAATGCAAGGAAGTAGAACAGAATCACAGACCGGGTGCTGTACCCCCGAAAGTTGAGAACCTCCACTCTTCCTAGCCAAAGCAAATTCTTTTATTGTTGGTATATGCCAGGGCTATCTGTACACCCCTGGGAGCCATATACCCCTGGGTCACACACCACAGCAGGGCACCCTCCATGCTGTACCAGTACCTAGCGTTGCACCAGGTCCGTGGATGCCCACCAAGCTGCCCAGCTACAGGCTCCCTTAGCCCTGCAGGCTATGCCACCCAGCCCCCAAAACTGGCGAGGGAAGCAGAAGCTAGGGAATGGATGGGGGAACCAGAGACTGGCAGCAGCAGCAGCTGGGGGAAACAGTGCCTGGACTAGGAGCCCAAGGCTGAAGGTGTACCCCTCAGGAGCCAGATGCAACCCGCAGGCTGCCAGTTGGAAAGCCCTGGCATATGGAAATACCGCAACATGTTCTCTAATCCGAGTTTATGAAAAAAAAATGCTGATCTGATAGACATGCTCATTTTACGATCATCCTCTTCCCCTCACTCTGCATCCCTGGCTTTCATGCAGCTGTATCTTTCCAAGAATCTATACTACAAGCTCTAGGTTAGAAACTTTTTATTTATAGTTGTGCAGCACCTAGCACAAGTGGGATAGCAATCCTTAAGGGCCCCTCAGAACTCAGTCTCTAAGGCTGAAGTGTTTGTTTAATCATTGATAGCCTTTTTTGGTGCATTTCCTACAGCTGTACTCATGCTTTGTGTAACATTCATCAAAGTTCTCAGCTTATGAGACAAACTGGCTAACAAAACTGAATCTGGCCTATGTTCATAATCATATAAACAGTGATAGCAGTTCCCCTTCATGCTCACCTCTATATCCCGGAAAGTGGAGATCTCTACATAGCCAGGCCGTCCTCCTTCAGTCAAAAGGAACAATCGCTTCTGGGTCATGGCGATTTTTCCAACACCGTAGTTAGTTTTAACTGAGCAGGATAACTTGTACACACATTCATTTTTATCTAAGTACTCTATTACAGCGGGTGGTAAATTAACTTCTTGAACCTCTGCTTCTGTTTCTTTCCAGTAGTTGTAGAAATCTCTAAAGGTTTCAGGATCAATTTGCTTCTGGTGTCCTTAAAATATTTTAAATGGTTTATTATTAGAAGTCATCATTCAGGATTTAAATAAGGAGATCAAGGATACTATGGGTTCAATCATACCTTTAGGGATAGCTTAAGGGGTAAGCAATGGGTGGCATATAATGTGCCAAAAGCAGCCTGAGGAAGTGTTTCAGAAGAATAATTCCTTCCCTGAGGTAGCAGAAGTACTTTATCTTTGGTCTATTATACTACAGACCTCCACCTGCATCGCAGCCTCCCTATCTATTCAATCCAAGGAAGGCAGGAATGAGCAGCTACACTCTTGCTCCTTGCTTCCATAAATCCAGCCAGAGATTTTTATTCTTTTGCTAAACCTGATAACTCTTCGTGAGGGCTTTCAAGGTCTTTATTCTCTCAAGTACAACTAAATCATGCACTTACCAAAATGGGGATAAGAACAGCAATTACAAGCAGCAGTCACTAATCTGCAGACCCAAATTTTACAAACAAATTTGCCAGTATCACTTCTAATCTGCAGTTTCATAAAACCAATTTGTTGTGGACTATTTCAAATGGAAGGGAAAGATGTTACACCTTGGAAACATAACCCTGAACTTTTCTTTTACAAATCTCTGATGCTCTTTTTCTGGAGAACTTAGGTCCAGAATCTGAATGGTAGTGGCTGTCTTGAACAGACTGCTAAACTTGCCATACTATTTACTTATAAGGATACACTTTCCACTGGGGCTTATAGATAGGACTGCACTGATTTTATCTGTAATCTAAAAAGCTAAAACTAGAACATTGTTGGATGAATAAAGGTTAGTACAAAAAACGAATGCAAAACATGCTTCTACAGCCAACGGAGGGAGGCCTGCAGCTGTTCCCATAGACACTACTTTGTATCTTGGGCAGTGGTTCAGGAATATGGCATGGAATCATATTGTTCTGCAATTATCCCAACTCAGTTAAGACTGTCAATAAAGTGGCTCTTCATATACTCTGTAGAACTGCTACACTGCACAACCAGAACATGAGGGTACGTCACCAGGGCCCCCAGTTTAAAAAGGTACTGTAGCACGATACTAATTTTGAGTGCATAAGTAGTCCCATTAAATAATTTGCTCAGTTATGGATTAAATACATTATGACGTTATCATTGTCCTCAAAAGTACAGTGCAATTGATCGACCGTGGTAATAGGTCTTGTGTTCATGAAAGTTACAAATATTTTAATGAGAATTAAAATTCTCCAGCACAGATTCACATGCAAGTTCAATACACACACACACACACACACACACACTCTCTCTCTCTCTCTCTCTCTCTCCCCCCCCATATCAACACACACACTTCCTACAGACTGAGAAACATTGATTAAAACAAGAACAGAAACTTGAAACCAGAGAGCTTGCATTAGTTAACAATCCAAGTAAATATACATGACAAAGCAGACAAGGTTCTTTGGGTAAATGTGATATCTTTTATTAGACTAACTAAAGAGTCGAAAATTTGTTCTTTGCAAGCTTTTGGGTACAAACTGTTGGTACCCAAAAGCTTGCAAAAAACATTTTTGCCAACTATTAGTTGGTCTAATAAAAGATACCACATTTACCCAAAGAACTTTGGTCTGCCTATGTCCTTAGATGAGTGGTCTCCAACATTTTTAGGCTGGAGATCACTTTCAGAATGTAAGAGGAACCGAAGATCTACCCTCCCCACCCAGCAGGTAAGTCTGTGGGGAGGGGAGGGCAGATCAAGGCCCCAGCCCTAGCCCCATTCCCTCCTTCACTGCTGGGGCCTCGATCTGCCCCCACTCCCTCCCCAATGGTGGTGAGGGAGGGGCAGGCCCTGCACAGCTGGGGCAAGGAGAGGGACAGAGCTGCGAGCAGCTCATCCAGGGAGCATGAGGAGCGGAGGCAGCACAGCCTGGGAGGGCACAGGGCGGCATGTACCCCCAGAGCTGCACACGGCGTGGGGCGGGCTGGGGCCAGGCCAGTGCCAAGCTCTTCCCAGCCAAGTGGCTGCGGTGCTGGGAGTAGAACTATGAGAGGGGTGTCCCTGCTGCCAGTGCCACCGCCGTCCGCACCGAGCACAGCGCAGGCCAGGCCCGGCACAGCCTTCCAGCCCACAGCTGCAGCCACCCGCACCCAGGTCCTCAGGGGGAGGGGATGGCTGCGCCAAGCTGTTCCTGCCAGGCCTGGCCCGCACTGTGCTCAATGGCAGCGCTGGGGGCAAGGGTTGTGGGGGCTACTGCCTCCTGCCCCCTTGTGGCCCCACTCCCAACGCCGCTGCTGCTGCCACCCAGTCTGAGTGCAGCCCAGCCAGGAAGAGCCCCGTGCTGCTGCCCTGTCCCCAGCCCGCCCCACGTGCAGATCTGGGAGCACACCCCCCCTCCGCGATGAGCCACTCGCAGCTCCGTCCCCTGCCCTGCCTGTGTAGGGCCTGCCCCCACTCCCTACCTGCAGCCGTCAGCACTGCCCCGTTTGGGTGGGGGAGGCCATGTGCCCCCCTGATCTGTGCACAGTGGAGGTGGCTGCCGCTGCAGGCTGAGCTTTGTGCCCCAAGCCCCACTGCACGTGCCCCCGGGACTCCACCCCTTCCTACCCCCACTGACTGACCTGCTGGACTGGAGGGGAGGGAGGAGGCATGCACACGCGCACACACACGCATGCTCAGCCCCCGCAGCCCAGGATCCACCGGTCGATCACGAGTGACCAGTTGGTGACCACTGCCTTAGACCACCATGGATACAACCATCAGTCAGGGCGGCTAGGATCTGGAACCAACTTCTAAGCGAAGTGGTGCTGGCTCCTACCCTGGGGGTCTTTAAGAGGAGGTTAGACGAACAGCTGGCCAGGGTCGTTTGACCCCAGTACTTTTTCCTGCCATGGCATGGGGTCGGACTTGATGATCTGCTCAGGTCTCTTCTGATCCTACCAACTATGAAACACCCCTAAAACATGACAAAGCAGATATTCATTAAGACAACACACTCTCTCTTCCTACCTACTGTTAAGGCATCAAATAGCCGATGTATTGTTTCAATATCTTTGACAATCCCCGATTCCTGGATTCGCTTCACAAAATCATCCAGTTGCATGTGTGTTTTTGGCAATTCAAAGTTTTTCACATGGTCATCTACTTTGGTCATTTCTCTTTGTTTTTCCATCACTTGACTGATCAACCTCTTCAGCTCTGGTTTGCGATCTGCTTGGGAACGTTCAGAAGGCGGCAAGGTTTCTATCATTTTCCTCACAAGATCAGTAGGGAAGATCCTTATGTCTGTTTTGTAGAGATTCTGGAAGTCTGAAAGTGCATTCAGTAGTTTTCCTTCTGTCAAACTAATGAGCCCCCGAAGATAGAAGTACCTTGCAAGCAATGCTGAATTATCTGGTGGCAAGTTGCTTATAGTTCGGCTGAGGTGGTTGATAAAGTCTGTGTAGTAGGAGTGGACGCACTGGCTCACCAAAGGGAAATGAACTTCTGGGATCCTGAACATACTAACTGATTTAGGTGAGAACTTCCTGGCTGAAAAAGAATAGAACAGTGCAGTGCCAGGTGTAAGTGAATAAAGGTCCAACTATATTCAAAACAATCAGTATTTATATAAATCAAATCAAATCCCCCTCCAACTGTTCTCCCCCAAGATCACATCCCGATTACCCCTGCATGTGGTCTGAACCTCAGGCAAGGCAATATTTATGCCTGTGATAGAACTAACATGTTAAACCATGTCTTTCTGGCTGCCATAATATTTGCATTAGTCCATCACTGTTCAGCAAGATACTTTAATAAAATGTGCTTCCCTTCAGGCACACGGTGACTTCAGTGGGATTTGCTTTACTAAGCAAAGGTAACCTTACCACATACCTAAAGGTACTGCTGAATTGGACCCAAAGAAAGAAAGGAAGTGTTGGTATAGGTACTGAGGGAAGATAGCTTCACAGCAGCAGTCTAAGAACAGACAGACATTCAACCTCTTCATAATGGGTATCAAGCTGTTTTAACAACAAGCATGCTACAGTTGGGGGCATGCCCAAGTGGCCCAAAGCTCAATAATGCAAGTAGCTACGTCAGGACAATTCTTGGTACCTCTTCCTGACTGTCACAGTGTTTATGCTGGGAGGACTCTAAGGATTCGGCCCATAACGGCAGCGCACACAATATGGTACAGATTAGGTACATTTTTCCCCCCTTACCTCGCTCTGTCTCTGCTCTTCGAAGTGAGGAATTCTTAATAGGGTTATCCTGGGACTTGATATCTTGCAGATTGGGCATGCTGATTACCATACGCCTACTAATCATGTAGTGAGGATTAAATCGTTTTGAAGTCATTTTCTCCATAGTTGGTCTTCTTGGGCTATCAAGCATCAAATTTAATCTGCAGAAAAGAATTTTCCACATATTGTACAATACATCAGTGTAAGTGGAGATAACAAACACCAATAATAAAATTATTATGTGTTAGTTTATATTACACTAGTATCTATCATTTTACACTGCTCCGCAGTACGGTCAGTTTACATCTGGACCAATACACCTTGTTCTTCTGCAGTAAACTTCATATTGATGCAATACTAGCCAACTGCCTAGCAACAATAACAGGCAGGGGGTGCGGGCGGGGACAGAGGCCTGCTTCCGGCTCCCCCCAACCTTCGAGGCCAGGCCCGCTCGCCCTTTCCCCCCAAATCCGCTGCGGGGCCGTGCCTGGACCCCTACCCTCCCCACCACAGTTTGGGTGCCAGCCACTCCCCCAACCTCCCCATTGCCTTTTCTGGGCTGGGGGGTGTGCCCCCCCCCCCCCCCCCCCCCCGCCCGCCACGCCTGCCGCAGCCACGTTGGGCTGGGCCTGTTGTCCCGCCCCATCGTGGTGGGTCATCTTTTCCCACTGGGCCTGCCCCTCCACCCTCTCTGCCACTGATTTGGGGCTGGACCAGACCCGGTGTGCTCCCCCCGACCCTCCCAGCCACCGTTTCAGGACTGGGCCCACTTCTCCTATCCCCCTACCCCGCTTCATCGGCCCATGTCTGCTGCTTCCCCCGCCACCGCAGCGCACTGGCTTCTCCCCGTCAACCCCACATCAGGAAGGGAGCAGCATGGGGAGGGCACAAGGCCAGCAGTGCTGGCCTCAGGGCCCCCCCCTTCCGCATTCGCTGCCTGCAGGGAGCCGGGGGGCAGGGTGCTCCCCACTTCACTGCCACCTCCAAGGAGTAAGG